GGCAATGTGATAATGAGCACATAATCTGTTTTTGATGTTTGTTAAGAGATAAATAATGGCCAGGACTCCAGGACAAACTCCGCTGCTCCTCTTCAGACAGTGTTACGAGATCTTTATTGTCCAGCTGAGAGAGTAGACAGGGCCTTGGTTCAATGTCTCATGCAAGAGATGGGTTCAAAGTGCTTTCAGATGTTTGAGTGATATGATGAGGCGCTATATCAAATTCAAGTCACATGCTGTTCCAAGCCAATGTTTTTCTGGCAGTGCTGCACGATATTTACTGGAGGTTTGTAATTTTAAAAAACTGCATTTGATTAAAGCTCACTGTAATCGATTCTTGTTGAATGCTAACTTTCAAATGAAATCCTGACGTTTTTCCCATTCAGAGATGAGATACCAAAAAACAAATTTTCTCATCAGTGTGTGAGCTAGAAACTGTTGTGCTGGTACAAATATGTTGAGTTTTCAGGTATTGGAATGGGTAACAAAGCTGTTGAGTGCCTGCTGAATTTTGATTAAATTGGGGTGCGCTTTGCTCACTGTAGTTTTAAACTTGTGCAAGCACACCCTGATCTCAGTAAAATGAGAGCCATGCAGATGCCATTTAACAGCAGAACTGGAAATGGTACTGATTGGAAACGACACAGTTACTGTATTATCATTGCAGAAGAATACTAATGCAATTTTTGGGAATTCTAAGGATGTACAAAGACTGAAGATTTACATTGACTGAATGAACAACATTCTGTTTTCATTTTGAGAAAAAATAATCCGGCATGGTTTTCATCAAAGCTGGTGGGATGATTGTATTTCCAGAATTCTGCCTCTTTTCTGAAGCAAACAGGAGAAGTTTTTGGAATATTGTGATCAAGTTTGGGCCCTGATTCTAAGGAAGGATGAGCTGGCCTTGGAGGGGTGCAGAGAAGGTTTACAAGAATAATCCCGGAGATGAAGGGCTTGATATGTGAGAAGTGGTCGAGGACTTTGGGGCTGTACTTGATGGAGTTTAAAAGAATGAGGGGGAATCTCATTGAAACTTACAGAATACTAAGAAGCCTGGATAGAGTGGATGTGAAGATGTTTCTGCTGTTAGGAGAAACTAGGACCGAGGTCACAGTCTCAGATTGAAGGGATGACCCTTTCGGCTAGAGGTTTGGTAATTTGTGGAACTCATTGCTTCAGAAAGCTGTGGATGCCAACTCGCTGGGTGCCTTTAAGGCAGAGACTGGTTCTTGTATAGTAAGGGGATCAAGGGTTACAGGGGGAAGGCAGGAGAATGGGGTTGAGAAACATATCGGCCATGATCAAAAGGTGGAGCAGATTTGATGGGCTGAATGGCCTAATTCTGCTCCTATGTCTTATGATTGAAGTGTGTAAACCTGCTCTTCTCACTATTCGGGGCAGCTGGCTTTCTGGTAACTGAGTTTATTCTTGGGCCCAGTTTGGTACAGCTGGGTGGAGAGGGAAAGCTGGAGAACATTGTGTTTCATAACAGGAAGTGACTTTAACTTGAGATCTGTTTTAAATATCATACATGTTGTAGGCAGGCAGTTCTGGCATCAATATTGGATTCTTATGAGCAATGTTGTGAATAGAATGCAGGATTGAGAAGCCAGTCTGTGGAGTTGATGACCATTTTGTTTTGGTGAAGATGTAATGCTTTGCAGGGAAGAGGGGGAGCTTCTGGTGTATTATCCCAGTGCAGCATCGGCAGAGGCTGGGAGAAGCCTCACTGCCCTCTTGCCTGTGATGGATCCATAGACTGGGAACATCAGTAAATAGTGATGAGAAGGGTCGTTGGCTGTCACGAATGAAGACCCAAGAAACCAGTCAGAACAGTTCAGATGTAATACTTTACAAACTGTGTACTGCAACCTGTATTAGCTGAATCCTATCACTACTTTCCTTTTCTGCATCCGTCTCCTGCAACTCTTAGTTTATTGTTAGATTTTATCATTAGACTGGAGTGGATTAATGCATTGAGATAATGTCGGATGTAAAACGCAAGAGTTTACAATTAAAAGCAACTCCTGGACTATCAGTAATCAACATTACTTGTAGAACAATCACAAGACAAGCAAGGCTTAATGCAAGGTATCAGCTTGGTGGCTCAGTGGTTAGCACTGCCTCACATTGCTAGGGACCCAGGTTTGATTCCAACCTCAGGCGACTGTCTGTGTGGAGCTTGCACATTCCCCCCGTGTCTGTGTAGTTTCTTGCCACAGCCCAAAGATGTGTAGGCTAGGTGAATTAGCCATGGGAAATGCAGGGTTACGAGGAAAGGGTTGGGGGGAATGGGTGCATTTGGGTGGGATGCTCTTTAGAGGGCCACTGTGGACTCAATGGGCTGAATGGCTTGCTTCCACACTGTAGGGATTCTATGATCTACAGTTCGTCAGTGGTATTGAAATATCTGTGTCACAGGAGATAGACACTTTCCAGTGGCTGATGGTTAGAGAACAATCTGTCATTGATATCAGGTCAAAATATAAAAACATACAGTGCAGAAGGAGGCTGTTTGGCCCATCATATCTGTGCTGGCTCTTTGAAAGTGTTATCTGATTAGTCCCAATTCCCATTCTTTTTCCCCTTCGAGGATCTATCCAGTTGTCTTGGAAGTTACCATTGAATCAACTTCCACCTCCCTTTCAGATAGTACATTCCAGATCTCAGCATCTCAGATTTTTAATAAAATCTTCTCATCTCCCTTCAGAGTTTTTGACCAATGGGTTTGCGTTTATTTTCACTGGTTGCTGACCATCCTACTGGAATCAGTAAAAAGGAAGAAACTATCAAATGCCATAGATTTAGAACAGATAACAGGAGAAACACTGAGCGATGAGAGGCTTTGGGGTGCACTGGTGAATAAAGCACTGTGGGAAAAATAGTTGCGTTGAAGGATTGGGGAATAAAGAGATACGAGAGTAAAATAGGCACATAGGATTAGGATCACTCCTTGTGGGAAGATAAACACTGACACTATCCTGAACCTCTTTTATAGAATCACTCAGCACAGAAGGAGACCGTTTGACCCATCATGCTTGTGCTGGCTCTGTAGAAGAGCTATTCAATTGATCCTATTCCTGATAGAATCTGGCAAAACCTTCCTCTTTGCCAATTCATCCAATTCTCTTTTGAAGTTTATTATGGATCTATATCCAGCGCCCCTTCTGGCAAAGGCTTCAAAATCCTAAATGTCCAGTGTTGGAATTTTGATTGTAATTATGAGGCTGGTGAAGTATGTTGTTTGGTAATATACCGTATTGTGGAATACTGATGGAGTGCTGAGGTTTAAGGCAGGTGCCTCTTACATTTAACAACCTTTTTCACGAATGTGACCTTGCCCCTGAATTGGATTTGCCTCGGAATTGAGTGTCCGTTCATTTTCGAGAAATACAGTGTGCTTTTTCCCCATCCGTTACAGTGGTATTGCCGTTGGGAATGATTATTTGTCTATATTCCCATCTTTCTTTTCTCTTCAATCATTATTCCATGGGATTAGTCTGCAGAAGCATTTCCTTGTTGCCATGAGTGGTAAAATATTTTTGAATATTTCCTTCAATTTGGGTTTTTTTGTGAATTTTGTGTTGCTGTAATCATGAAATAAATAATTTTAAGCCACTAATTTTAAAATCTTTATTGATATTTCTGTGAGACCTTTGCATTCATCAAAATAAAGAGCATGAGGTACTTCGCTTCATAACTGGAGAGGAATAAGCCACATAAAGTCTGACATATTTAATTCATTTGGTATTTGAAATTTGGAGTTCAACTTCGGCTATTTCTTTCTGAAGCTTTGTATTGAATTCTGCAAAGCCACATGCATAACCAGAAACAAAAGTAGAAATCGCTGGAAAAGCTCAGCAGGTCTAGCAGCATCTGTGGGGAGAAATCAGATTTTAATGTTTTGGTTCGAGTGACCCGAAACGTTAACTCTGATTTCTCCCCACGAGTGCTGCCAGACCTGCTGAGCTTTTCCAGCGATTTCTACTTTTGTTCCTGAATTGCAGCAACCACAGTTCTTTCAGTTTTTATTCACATGCATAACCGCATTGACTTGTGATCGAGGAGGCTTCAAGAAATTTGATTGCAACTTTTAAAAGCAGTTTGGAAAGTGATTTGCAGGTGTCCTTTATTGCAAACAGATTGGAATATAGGAGCAAAGAAGTCTTACTGCTATTTTGTCGGGTCTGCTGGCCATACCAGTGCTGGACTGCTATGCCCAATTTTTAAGGAAGGATACACTTGCATTGGAGGCAGAGCATCAGGCATTCAGTAAAATAAAACAAAGAACTGATGCTGGAAATCTGAAACAAAAACAAAAACAAAAATTGCTGGAGAAACTCAGCAAGTCTGGCAGTATCTATGGACCGAAAGCAGAGTTCAATGTTTGGAGTCCTGTGACTCTTCATCAGAGCTGATAGCAGTTTGAAAAAAGTGGTATTTATGCTGGAGACGAGGTTGGAGTGTGGAGCGATATGGTGAGTGGAGAGGTGGAGACCGACCTCACAAACAGCGAGAGAGAGATAGATCTGAAAAGGGTAGGCAAACAAGGGTATTATTAGTGGTAAGCCAGGACAGAACAGAAGCTATGTAATAATGAGGGCTAAGAATAGGAGAGACTAGGTTAACTGTGTGGAAAGCAAGACAGGACCAAGATGTAGCAGTAGGTAAAAATCCTGGAAAGACGGAATCAGACTCTAAAGTTATTGAACTAGATATTGAGTCCTAGAGGCTGCAAGCTCAAGTGAAAGATGAGGTGCTGTTTTTCAAACTTGTGCTGAGCCCCACTAGTGCGCTGCAGCAAGCCTGAGACACAGTTGTTGGCATCAGAACGCAGTGATGTGTTGAAACGCCAGGCAACTGGAAGCTTGGGGTCATTTTTATGGACAAAAGGTAGATGTTCTGCATAGTGATCACTAAGTCTGCATTTCATCTCCCCAGTGTGGAGGAGACCACATTGTGAGCAGCACTACTGATAATATTGCTGCCTTATGACCATGACTGAAGACACAGTAGCTAACTACAAATGGTGCAATGAAGCTACTATGTTTTTGCTTCCACAGATCTACAGAGCAGACTTTGTTATTATAATCACACATCAATTGGATCTCACGTTCCGTCTTGCTTTTTTTCAGCTCCGTGCTGTGTGGCGAAGTGCGGTGATAGGAGTTCGTGCTTCCAAGCCAAATGGCCTCATCTCCTGCAGTGGGCTGCAACGCACTTTACTCAGACCAGGTCTCCCTTGTCGAGCCGTTCACGTTACACCAAATGTAAGTTATAGAAGCAGGGAGAGATCATCTGTGTTCAAATCACGTGGACGCCAGGTGAAGCCTTTATATCTCTTCATCCCCACCTCCTCAACACTGCTTAGCATTTACTGTCTGAAGGATATTCACTGAGCGAGCGAGCAGAAGGTGGTTCGAATAATTTGTGAATTAGGGTGAACTACTCAAATTTATTGCTCTGCTGACCAAGCAGTTTTAGTTATGGTCCGCTGTCCTAAACCTGTTAGGCTCAATTTTCATGTTTTTATTTTAAGAAAATGAACTTGTTCTTTGTTTACATGATTAAGATTTTCGGTTGTGGCAGTTGTTAGTTTGAACTGACACTATTGCTTTGTTCCATGATTTGTCAGTTTGAAATCTCAGCATTGAGTACGTGTTAAGTTTTTTGTTAATTTATTGGTGGGCTGAGGGTGTCATTGGCTAGGCTAGCATTTCTTGCCCATCCCAGAAAGCAGTTGAGAGTCAACCACATTGCTATGGGTCTAGGGTCACATGTGGTCCAGACCAGGTAAGAATGGCATTTTCCTTCCTTAAAGGATATTAGTGAATCAGATGGGCTTTTTCAACAATCGACAATGATTACAGGGTCACCATTAGACTCTGAATTCCAGATTTTTAAAATTTAATTCCAGTTCCACGATTTTCCATGCCAGGATTTGAGGCCAGATACCCAGAACTCAGAGTCTAGGGGAGGTGATGGCCTAGTGGTATTATCGCTGGACGGTTAATCCAGAGACCCAGACAAAGTTCTGGGGACCTGGGTTCAAATCCCGCCATGGCAGATGGTGAAATTTGAATTCAATAAATATCTGGAATTAAGAATCTAAAGGTGACCATGAATTCATTGTCGATTGTTGGAAAAACCCATCTGGTTCACTAACGTCCCTCAGGGAAGGAAACTGCCATCCTTATCTGGTCTGGACTACATGTGACTCCAGTTCCACACCAATGTGGATGACTCTTAACTGCTCTCTGAGCAATTAGGGATGGGTGATAAATGCTGCCTGGCCAGCGATGCCCACATCCCATGAACGAATAAAGGGAAAAAAAATTAACAGCCAAGTCATAATACCACTAGGCGACCACTTCCCTGAAGTTACACGTTTCACCATCTGAAATACTTGAACAAAATTAATAAAGAAGACAGCAGTGGTATTAGAGATAGGAGCTTTTGTCTTCAACAAAATACAGGGCTCTTCTTTAAATTTAAACCTCATGGAATCCCTCAAATTTCAGCACAGAAGCTAGCTATTCTATCCATCACACCTTTATTGTTGCAAGTAACTGTTGACATTAGAGCCTGTCCACATGTGAAACCATTTTCCTGCTCTGTTATCCACTTCATTGACCTTCCATTGTAACTTCTATCCTTAATCCTATCATTTAAGTATGTATAAAACTCTGTTTCTCTTGACCTACCTTACACCATGTCCTGTCATCATCCATTGCTTGCTGACTGACATTGGCTCTCAGTTCAGCTGTTTTAAAATTCTCATGCTTGCTTTCAAGTCTGTCCATAGCCTTGTCAGTCCCTGTTTTTGTAACCTTCTGTAACTCTTGCAGACCTACAATCTACAATCCTCTGATTCCATTCTCTCTCACAGCCTCAACCTCTCCATCATCAGCAAACTTGCTTTCAGCTGCCTGGGTATTAACCTCTGGAACTGCGTCCTGAAATAATACTGCCTCTGCATCTCTTTCCCTCATTCCAGAGCTCTGTAAACTCTGCTTTTTGATTCATCTTTTAAACTTCTTGACCTAACATCTGGCCTGCTGATTTTTTAAAAAATTCATTTGTGGGATGTGGGATGTGGACGTCACTGGCTGATCAGCATTTATTGCCCATCCCTAGTTGCCCTTGAGAAGGTGGTTGTGAGCTGCCTTCTTGAACCGCTGCAGTCCACCTGCTGTGGGTTGACCCACAATGCCATTAGGGAGGGAATTCCAGGATTTTGACCCCGTGTCAGTAAAGGAACAGCGATATATTTCCAAGTCAGGATGATGAGTGGCTTGGAGGGGAACTTGAGGGTGGTGGTATTCCCACATGTCTGCAGCCCTTGTCCTTCGAGATGGAAGTGATCGTGGATTTGGAAGGTGCTGTCTGAGGATCTTTGGTGAACTTCTGCAGTGCATCTCCTAAATGCTGCTACTGAGTGTCGGTGATAGAGGGAGTGGATGTGGTGCCAATCAACTGGGCTGCTTTGTCCTGGATGGTGTCAAGCTTCTTGAATGCTATTGGAGCTGTACCCATCCAGGCAAGTGGGGGTATTCCATCACACTCCTGACTTGTACATGTAGATGGTGGACAGGCTTCAAGGAGTCAGGAGATGAGTTACTTGCTGCATTATTCCTAGCTTCTGACCTGCTCTTGTAGCTACTGTGTTTATGTGGTAAGTCCAGTTGAGTTTCTGGTCAATGATAACCCCCAGGATGTTGATAGTGGGGGAGTCAGTGATGGTAACACCATTGAGTGTCAAGGGGTGGTTGCTAGATTGTCTCTCTTGGTGATGGTCATGGCCTGGCATTTGTGTGGTGCAAATGTCACTTGCCACTTGTCAGCACAAACCTGGATATTGTTCGGATCTTGTTGCGTTTGAACACGGACTGCTTCAGTATCTGAAGAGTGTCACAAATTGTGTTGAACATTGTGCAATCGTCGGCGAACATCCCCATTTCTGACCTTAGGATGGAGGGAAGGTCATTGATGAAGCAGCTGAAGATGATTGGGGATAGGACACTACCCTGAGGAACTCCTGCAGAGATGTCCTGGAGCAGAGATGATTGACCTCCAACAACCACAACCATCTTCCTATGTGTCAAGTATGACTCCAACCAGCGGCACTTTTGCTCGCTGATACCCATTGATTCCAGTTTTGCTAGGGCTCCTTGATACCAAAGGCTGTCACCCTCGCCTCACCTATTTTTTATAATAATGCTCCAGTGATGTATCACTGTTATCACTGAAATTGAAGCATTCAAGAAGGCATTGCATGATTGTTTGGATAAAGATAATGTGCAGGTGTTTGGTGGAAAAGCAGGAAATTTGTACTCTGTAATGATGCCCATGTCTCTACTAGCTTGTGGCATGATTGACCTTATGGTCTCCTTCCGTGCTGTAACTTCTATGATTCTGTGAAGTGTCTCAGGAAGTTTTTGCTACATTAAAGGTACATATAATTTCACATTGCCACTGTTGTATGCAATAGTGTTTGTTTTGTGGCTAACATTTTGTTCTCCCTTTTCATAACAGGTTTCCAATGTAAAAAATCCAGCTCAGCCTGTGGAGGAAGAACTGAGTCCCTTTACCAAACTGATAGAAGCCATGGGATTCACAGGGCCTCTGAAGTACAGCAAATGGGTATTTTCTCTTGAGCTAATGAAAATGGGAATGGGTTCTGTGACGGTAATGTCTCTGTTGGGAAATGGAGCAGTGTCAGTTTACAGTTGCTCAAATAAGGATTCCCAGATCTTTTATAAAACTGAGAAATGCAGATGCTGGAAATCTGAAACAAAAAGAGAGAGTGCTGGAGAAACTCAGCAGGTTTGACAGCATCTGTCAAGAGAGGAAGGGTCACCGGACCCGAAACGTTAACTCTGTTTTCTCATCCACAGATGCTGCCAGACCTGCTGAGCTTTTCCAGCAGCTTTGTTTTTGTTTCTGTCAAGAGAGAAATACGCAACTTTGCAAGTCTGGTTACTCTTACTACATGTGTACGAACTTTATCCTACAATTAGATTGTATTCTGGGAGTGTTTTGTGTTACTGCTCGTTAAGAAAGTATGAAATACTGCATTTGGTTTTGCTGCACAAAGTTGGAAAACAAAAGATGCGTACCATAAAATGTGCAGAAATGTAGAATGTTGCTTAGGATTTCCAACAAGATTTGTGCCCTTATTGGCTAAAGCCTTTTTCTTTATTCATTCATGGGATGTGGACATCACTGGCCAGGCCAGTATTTATTGCCCATCTCTAATTGCTCAGAATTAACCATGTCGGCCAGACTGGGTAAGGATGGCAGATTTCCTTCCCTAAAGGCCTGTAGTGAACCAGATTTTTTTTCTGACAAAAAACACACTTTATGGTCATCATTAGATTCTTAATCCCAATTTTTCTTTTTAATTAAATTCAAATTCCACTATCTGCCATGGTGGAATTTAACCCCAGTCCCCAGGACATTAATAGTCTAGTGATAATACCACTAGACCATCACCTCCCCCTCAGCGGTTTTCAACGAATGTTTTGTTCTTTGTTAAGGAAGGAAAGTATAGCTGGTAATGTTTATGAGTGAGAGCATTTGATATATATCATCCCCCAACTTGAGGGAACAGTTCAAGGTGACAAATGCACCATCAATTAGTTACACAACATTAAGATTTATTTGATTGAGTAATGGTGTAAAAGGTTATTGACATGTTATTAATTTCTCATTTTAATACTTGTTAATTTTGTCATTTATTTCTCCTCTGTTTAGGCTCTTGTGCACTTGCTTTTCTAATTAATTTTCTTCTAAAGTGGTCATTTTCACTTATTTTGTTCCAGAAAATTAAGATTGCTGGCCTGCGCATGTACACCTGCTGTGTGGAGAGGATTGATTATGATGACTTGTTTGAAAGTACGTTCAACCAAGGTTTCTCTGATTTTAAACAGTTTTAATTTTTTTTTAATTTTTAAAAATATCACCCACTGTTCTGAACTGGAGACTGCATTGTGGCAATAAAAACAGAAACTCCTGCAGAAACTCAGCAGATCTGACATCCTTTGTGGTGAAAGAAAGAGTTAGTGTTTCAAATTCAGTATGATTTTTCTTTGGAAAAAGAACAATGGTAGCATTGCATTTTGTTCAAATTAAGTCCAAGCGCAAAGCTTGCACATCACACTAGTGACAGGCTTATTAACAGTTAAATGCAAAATTAAGTTAAGTATATTGTTGAATGGTTTGCAGCCGAATTATACATAAAAAGATGTAAATTGAACCTGGAGTGAGCATCCACTGAATTGGAATTTATTTCCTATGTTTTCAGTCAAGGTTATCAAAGGAAAATGGGAATTGCAGAAGGAACATTGACTTAAAAGGGAGGGAATATTGAAATTGATGCAACAACAAGGCTTCTCAGGTCTTGAGAGGTGTCAAGGCCAGTACGTATACACAAATGTGATTCAACATTTTAACGATGCCCCAAGATTCTACTGTCAGTTGGGTTGGTGTCTACATAGGCTGCTTTATTACAAAACGTCATCAACAGTGGGTTTTAATTGGGGAAAAGTAATTATCAGTAATCACATTCTTTATCATATAAAGTATTCTGTATATTCAACTAATATAGTTCTGGGTCTGCAGAATGGGCGAGGCTACCCTTTGGAAACAAAAGGAGGCTCTGTGATAACTTAATCAAAATCTTCCAAGATTATGAAAAGATAAAAGTGCCCCAGGCGATTTCAGTATGGAGAAGTTTCAGCTCCGTGGGACTTCATTAGAAAAGTAGTTTTGAGAGAATTCAGGCATAACGTCTTCATCCAAAGCTTCCATTGATATCAGATGAGATGATTTGGATGGTTATTAAAGAATGTAAATGAGGCTGCAGAGCCAAACGAGTTTGTTTCTGGAGGGGGTAAGATTTAAACTGTTCGGTACACCGGCAGATCAGGACGTTTGATTCCTGATTTAATCACCTTTTCCTATTTCAAAAGTTTCTTCTGAGACAGACATCCAGCAGAAAGCAGTAGAGCAGCCTAGCGGGCCATTAAAATAAGGTCAGGAAAAGTCACTTAAATTTTCTTTTCCTTTTTTTGGAGTTGCTTTGTAACTTCGAAAGTGTTTAGTTAGACCCCTAAGACTGTGGGTTGAGAGTTCTGAGCTATTGGAATACTATTAGCTCTCCCTTTTGTAAACTTATGTGCACTTGACTTGATTAGGCATAAGATTTAATGATTATAAAATGTTGATCAGTGAACCTGTGATAGTAGGAACTGCCGACGCTGGAGAATCTGAGATAACAAGGTGTAGAGCTGGATGAACACAGCAGGCCAAGCAGCATCAGAGGTGCAGGAAAGCTGACGTTTCGGGTCTGGACCCTTCTTCAGA